CTTTTTATTATTTTGAATAATATTTTAATTTTAATCAACTATATCTTAATATATATTTATATTAAATTATATTATTTGTTTTTTAGAATAAATGACAGTATGGTTCCCTAATAAGAGATATTCGAAAATAGTTGTTTTTTAGGTTGAGACAGCAAAAACAGAAGGGCACTAAATGTTTGTGCATGTGGTTAGCATCATCACTCAAATCTGAAAAAAAAAGAAGAAAAAAGATAGAGATGGGGATGTAGTTATCCAAAACATGTAGAGGGGGTCAATGGAAATAGCAGTGATCTGATCAACCTAATTAAGAACCAATTGGGGATGTGCAGTATGTTGGTAAAAGAAAAAACACAAAACAAATTTATCTTAGACTACTTTCTTCACCTTTCTGGCATGTACAATGTAACTGGACTCTTTAGGCAAAAAATAATTAAAAAATTGCGCCTTCTGATCAGAAAAATTAGGTCATATATGAAAGCTAATAAAATTTATCTCGAAAGATCATAAATAATAAGATAAACGAAAAATATAATAAAAAGACATAATTTTAATGAGTAATTTCATTATAAATAGTTCGTATCTTACACAATTCACTCGAAATAAAAAAAAGGTTCATACAAGTGACAAATAGTGTATTACTTGCGGTGTACTGTTTCTTTCCTACACTAAACTCTCAAACTCCCTTGGAGGCTGGGACTACATTGTGAAAGCTACTAACTACTAAGTTGGAAAGGAACGGGTTTCTATTTATGGAATCTTAAACATTTTTCTAAAAGAAAATGACTAGTCAAATATGGAGATTTTTATATTTTCCTTGAAAAAGAAAAACCTATTTATAGTAAAAAATTTATGACAAATATTAACTATGTGGAAGTTAAAAAAAAATTCGATAATAAATTATAAAACAAAAAATTATATTAAAAACACATACTCCCTTCGTTTAAAAAAGAATGACCTACTTTGACTTGGAACGGAGTTTATGAAAAGAAAGAAGACTTTTTAATCTCGTGGTTCTAAATTAAAGTTATGTCAAATATACCAAAACGCCCTTTAATCTTGTGGTCTTAAACATGCCACATGAAAACTTAAAGTTAAAGTGTTGCAAAAAAAAAAGACATTCTTTTTAAAACAAACTAAAAAGAAAATATAAACATTCTTCTTAACACAGAGAAAATAATACTTTAGTAGATTTGTTCAATTGACATACATACAACAAACTAATTAGAAGAAAATATTAGCAACAATTTATCATCCATTCTCTTTACATTTCACAATTTACCACAAGTTTATGTTGTAGTGCAAAGAAAGTAGGGTGTAAAGTTTAGGAATTCAACAAAAGGATCGAGGTAAAAATCAGATTGCCAAATGTCAAGCTACATGTTCAAAGTGATAGGATGAAGCATAACAAAGACATATCAAATAAAACTTATTATTATTATCATCTTTAACTAGAGAAAGTTTTTTAATTTGCCACAATAATATGTCGGACAAAAGTTTTCGATTAAGATGCAAAATATGAAATATTTAAAAATTCACCTCACATGATATAAGTATTAATTAAAATGGATCAATTTTACTTCTTAGACATGGTCATAGTGACTATAATATGACAAGTTATATTCAAAGTCAAATATATGAGCTCAAGTGTATAAAAAAAAATTCCTTTTAATAATTCATACGTAGTCGAGTGTTTTAAAATAATCTTATTTGTTTTCACGAGACAATAATAACGTTTACATTTATTCTAAATTTTTTAGACCCCACTTAAAAAGATTTCACGAAATATATATATATATATATATATATATATATATATATATATATATATATATATATATGTCGTTGTATAATCTATGTACATTAACAAAAAAGTATTATCCAGATGCGTGCCCAAATATTCTAGTATAAACTAAGTTTAAGAGTCTTTACTTTTATTTTATCCTAACAATATCTTTAGCAATTTATTATACTCCTAAAAAGAATTTACTCAGTTCAATAGGACTAATCAAAAATAAAATATCGAGGAACCCGACTAAAAACTAAAATAAGTTTGTCAATAATAATAATAGTAATGAAAAACAATGTAGCAAGATTAGTTAGCTACAATCCAAATTGAAAGCTCCAAAATATACAACCCGATATAGAAATTCTTAAATAGAGATGCTAATGATATTAAGACTTTTATCTGTTATAAACCATTCAAACTCATTAAGTAGTTGTAAATAAGAAAAACCAATGTACTTTCTGAATGTAAAATATACAAATTTAATGATTGATATATATGAATAATTAAGATCAGGATCTCATTAAATGGAAACAAATTAAATTAGACCTATGTAATTAGTAGTAGAGTTTGGATTAGTTACATAATGTGTATTTTAGCTGATCTATCTATATGTTGCAATCACAACCTTTCCTTAAACACATTTATTATGATGTGATCATATCTTCTTCCTTCTTCATTCTCTTTTCTTTTCTGCTTCTTCATCAAGAGCTCATTCAGATAGTCAACCAATTTAGCAACTAATTTCCTCATTTTTGTTTAATCAATTACCCGGATAGCGTGGCAAAAAAAGAAGTAGAGGGAGGCTAGACCTGACCTCAATACAACACTGATTTGTCACAAAAATCTAGCAGGCTTACAAAATCTACTATAGAGCCTTGTGTAGATTTATGAAGAAGAAGAACTCTATAGGGACTATGTCGACATATATAATATCTATATAGCCTAAATTGTAGATGGAATAGTTTCTGGTTCTACAATATGTAATCTTCAAATGTTCCTGCATCTGAAGAAAAAAGAGAATCAATAGATTTATTATTTTCTACTTTTTCAAAGGTTAGGGAATATGGCGAGGGGACTACAAGTTGGACGTGGATCGAATTTTATCAATAAGGTAAAAGTTCAGATAGCCAATTAACTGAGCTATTGAGATGACTTCCCGAGAATCGATAGAGTGATCTCAATTGCATTTAGTTTATGTATCAAGAAATTAATATGAAGATGCATGTAGGTTTCGTATATGTACTGAAAAAAAAAGGCTAGGTCAAATTAAATTAAGATATATGTATTAGATTAGGTACATATATATAAGAAGAAATTTTATAAATAAAAACCTAAATGTATATATAGCCATTTTATGTTATCAAGTTTGGAACAAGTAAATAAATTATATTTTCCTCTACTTGTCTTTCAGAAAAAGAAAAAAAAACTGAAAAAGCCTTTTCTTCCCCAAATCATATTCCAAGAGATAATTATACATCATATAAAAGATAAAATAGGTAATTTAATTTAAGTAGAGTCCATCAAAAGGCGCAGTAAACTGGTTCAAAGTTCAAACTGTGCACTGACATTTTCCCTATATCAGCCTGAGAAAGCAAACACCATTAGGACCACTCTATTCTATTCACGCAAATATAATTTAAATTCGAATCAATAAATTTAACTTAAGTCACTACACACGACATTTAGTGATAATAAATTTTCCTTTTTAATATTCATATCGCTGCATTTATATAAATGCATTTATATAAAATATTTATTATTTGCGCTAAATATAATTATATTATTGTGCTAAATGATTTTTTGACAAGTGATAATAAGAAGGTGACTATATAATTCATTTTAATCTCTCTTAACCCTAATATAGGAAATTGCAGCCAATTATGTGAAAAATTCTGTTTTAGAATAACAGGATAGGAAAACATTAATAACCCATCACTAATTGGATTATGTCTAGCTAGTTTATGATTATGAAAAGTCCTCATGTACACACATAAAATTGTGAGAAAATTTTGTGTACATGTGGACAGTAATGGAAATAAAAGATAGTATTAAATTTCATTGATATGATCTGTAGACTGTAGAGGCTGAAACAACATCCACTATATACCAACAGTTGGACATATATCTAAGTTTTATACCGTGATTTTGTTTCAAATCAAATAAACGCATTGCTATGATGGATGAATTAATCAGTGTAGAATTCAAATACTGAAAACATACTTGTATCATCAATCAAATTTGGAATTATTTGAACACGACAGATTAATCCATTTGAGCGTTCCACATCAACTAGGGACGGGAGATTTGGTAGCAAAATTAGATTGAATTAATCAAAAAAGTGTATTGATTGAAAGAATGTTTCATTTGTTGGATGTCAAAATCCATAATTTGATTTCAGTAGCATCATAAAGAAGATATGTCAAAATCAGACACCACTCCACTAGCATCATAAAGAAGATATGTGTACAAGTCAAATAAAACAGCTATGTTTGTGACCTTATAATAATTTTGTGTTCTTAGAAACTTGTGGAAGGCACTAGACATCATGCATATATATAGATATATATATCTCACTTGTCCTTACCCTACAATATGGACATATCTGAATGTTACTCTACCTAGTTGTCACTTCAATGATTTGTCAAATAGTAACTCTAACATTTGGAAAAAATAAAGTTTCATTTCTGTGCTCTCTCCAACGACCTTAAACATTTATATGAAATCAACAAGTTCTGACATCAAATCAAAGAAAATTTTAGTGCTTTGATTCATGGAGAACCAAAATAGAAACATTGGGAATCCATTTGAGATAGAAATACAGAATTTTCCAAGTAAAATTGCCAAAGAAAAACATACTTACCACCTTGCAGAGCAGAATACTGAACTGGAACTGCCCCAGAAACTCCTACAACCCAAGTAATCACTTAAAGAAATATATATATATATGAGTTAAATAATAATAATTTACTGCTGAAATTTGCAAAGCATTTCACTACCGAAGGGTAGAAAACCAAGGAAACTTAATTAGTTATCAGATCCAATGTTTATTGAGTTGAAAGAGTTCATGGTCTGATCTATCATGTGTTAGGACAAGTTGTGAAGAATTAATTGAGAAAAAAACACATTCCACTGGTATGGTTGTAAAGGAAAGCGGAGTAGTACTAAAATGGTTTGAGAGTCATGATCAGCGAATCAAACATGATAAATACATACACAGATACATATAAAGAAAGATAGAGGAATTGGTGGGAGGTGACAGATAGAGCAGTGAGCACACATAGTTTCAAGCATATATATATATAAACATCATGCCAGAAAACGCCATGTGTGCTCACTCTCTTCTGTCACCGCCCCTTTGTTTTTACCCTTTTTAGGCATCTGAGGAGATAGAAACCCTAGATTTGAATAAAGAGTAGGAAGGAGTTACTGTTTTATTAGAAACATAAATAGATGATTTAGATGTAGTGTGAGAAGGAATGATGGTGGCCTATTTATATAGGAAGAGGACCACTGCAACCAATACCTTTTATCTCTTTCTTTATATGTCAATCCCCTAACCACGAATCTCCTATCTTCTATACCTAATAATATATCTGCTTTTTTTTAAAAAAAAAAAAGAAAAGAAAAGCTAGTTCTGTTTTTTAAAAAAAAGATGATATTTATTCATTTTTCTAATTACCGACACATCTATTAAGAAAATAATAATTGGTACAATGTGTTTATCATTTTATCCTTAATAATTATGAAGTAGAAGAATTGAAAACTTAAATTTTTAAAATAATTCTACTTTTTTCAAAGTAATTAATTGAAGGTATAATAGATAAAAAAATCGTCTTTTTTTGATTTATCAAAATAAATAAATAATTAAAAACAACTAAAAAAAATAGACAAATAATTAAAAACAAATGAAGTAACTTCAAAGTGCCTTCCTATCCCTAAATATATACTATTATTTACTACTTCTCAAAGAGTCGAACTGACTTATAAATAATATCATTCTATTTACTTTAATTCATTCCGTTTGGACTCTGCGTATCCTTTAAGAAATAATGATAATTTGTATTAAGTATTTTATATAATTTTTACCATTAAATTTATTCTAATTGATGATTTCGAAAGTAATTTGGATAGTAAGTACGTGATTAATGTTAGAGAATAAAAATGAAAAGAAAATTTTTCTCTTGATATATATAGCAATACTTCTTTCATCAACTTTTATTTGTGCAATAATATTTACACATTAATTAAGAAAAATAAATAAATAATATAATTAAAAAAATATTAGATAAAATGGCTATTAGATCCAAAATTACTATATGAATCCGGTGAAGTGCTTTATATGGTCCAAAAATTAGTCATACAAATTGCTGTATCATCGATCGTTGCCGTCCTTACCTTCTACAGACATCTGAGATTGTTGATGCTTCCAATTGCTCTTCAATGGAATAATTGGAGGGTTTGAAGTTCAAGTTTTAAAATTGGTCGTGCTAATAATATGAATCATTTCAAATAAATAATATATGAAAAGACGTAAAATGTCAAGAGTAGTCAAGAAAAGCTCACATCTTAAATTTAAAGTTGCTTAGAGATGATTTTGAATTGGCCAAAATTCTAAGATTTCATTAGTTGGTAAAGCTTCTTCAAATATATATGATATACTCTCTCTCTCTATATATATATATATTGTTAAGTTGCTCGGATTCGGATGCAGGTGTCTAATAGGGTGCAAGGTTTGGATCATTCATAATCTAATTTTTAAGATTTAGGGATATGGATCCATATATAGATATGGATGTGGTGATTCATCTAAAGTTATTAAAATATCTAAAAATAGAATTATTAAACCTAAATTATGAGATATTACACAGAGAATTTGAGGAGAATCCTCGGAGATTAATGGAAAAAGAGTGACTTAGAAATTACCACCCATTAATTGTCATACTTTTCATTTTTTAGAGTCAAACTATAAAAAAATTTCTCAACATTTTACAATTCATTTTTTAATCATATTTATATGCAAAATTAGTCAAATTAACTTTCAAAAAACTCAACATGACAAAAAAAAAATGAATGGAGGGAGTATATAAAAAAGTATTTCATTTTCTTCAATTTCACCTTAGTTTTTGTATTAATTACAAAAATCATTAAAACTGTTCAAAGTTTTACCATCGATTTTGATCAAAGTATACAAAATTGATTGACCACGCAGATCCCACACCTACACCCATATTGTGTCCACACAAATACACCACCAAAAATAAAAGACATAATACATAAATGTGCTCTCTTTAACTTGATTTCAAATTACATTTATGCCGTTCAATTTTGGTTGTGCACAAATAGACACTTAAACTTGTATAAAGTGAACAAATAAACACACATGTCCTACATGTCATTTTTTGTCATACGTATATTGTGCCATGTAGGTCTCATGTGTTTATTTATTTAAAAGTTGAATAGTTAAAGTGTCTCTTTGTGCATTATGAAAATTGAAGGTCAAAGTTAAAATTTAAAGCCAAATTTAAAATCTAATATATGTATTATGCCAAAACAAAAAGTCCAAACAACTTAAATATACATTACATTTACATGCTGCCATTTAACCATTTTGTTGAAATTTCTTTTTTCTTTTTAACCCGTACATATTAGTATAAGTACTCCATTATTATATAACCCTTTTAATAATAAATTTAATACTTCGAAAAGTAACAACAAATAATAATAATAATTATAATAATAATAATAATAATAATAATAATAATAATAAAAATAAAAGAATTAAATAATAAATTTTTAAATTTTTAAAGTTGGACAATTAGGAATGGATATCTATTTTATCATAATACTAATTTTAATATAGCGGATAAATAAATAAAAAAAGTATCTTTTTTCATAAAAATTAGGGATAATGCACTATGCTTGAAATCACAGAGACATACTTATACTTTATTAAGGTCGTATTACCCCTAAACTTATTTTATTAATAATTCTTTACCATTTTCGACATACGTGGTACTATCTTGTGGACTCAATACTGGTTGATTTTTTTTTCAAGCTAGTGCCACGTAAGTCGAATAAGAGTAAAAAAATTACTTACAAAATAAATTCAGAAGATAATAAAATCTTAATGTAAAAATTTTGAACATAGGTTAAAGAGTAATCGTTCATTTTCCTTAAAAATTAAAATAAAATTAAATAGATAGGTATGTATGATCGACAGACAGGATACAAGCAATTGATAACTGTTGATCATCTTTTCTTTCCCCCACAAAAATATTCTTAACCAACTTAGCTGAGACCTCCATAAATTCAAATTACTCCTACCAATGCTTCTCGTAATTCTAAATATCTTTTACTTTCTCTGCTCCATTTAGTTTTAAAAAATTGATCCATAATAAAGATAAAAAAAATCCACAATAAAGATCACTTCATAAAATTATAAAGCATTACCCCGTTTCATATTAATGATAACCACTTTCAATATACCGTATTAGGAAATTATAAATAAACAAATAATTTTATTAATTCATTCCTAAACAGCTCTTTTGAAAATTTTATAAATAGATGTGAATACTTATTTTAAAATTAATTGTAAGACTAAAAAAAAAATTAATTAATATTTTTTGATTAAATAAAGTGATTAACTAATATAAAATAATTATATTTTAATATAACGATCAATTAATATGGGATAGAGAGAGTAACTAGTACTCCTTTGGGTAGGGATGCATGAGTGTTTGGTATTTGGTTCGGATTTTTCAAATTCTGGATTAGTTAATTTAGTAATTGCTAGTTAAAGTAGATACTTCCCCCGTCCCTTTTTACTTGTCCACTTTTTCTTTTATAGTTATCCCTAATTACTTATTCATTTTGACAAATAAAAAAGGATATCTTTTTTACGTATTATATCCTCAATTAAATGAACAATTACTTTGAAAAATGTAAAAATTTTCATCTGCTTCATAATTAATATGGGTAAAATGGTAAACTTCATACGTCATTAATTATTTTCTTAATAAGTGTATCAATTCAAAAGTGAAAAAGTAAAAAGAAACGGAGGGAGTATCAAATATCAAAATTTTAATTTTGATTCAAAAATTCAGTAAATGGTAAATTAAACTTCAATTGGGTAAGGTATTTGATAATATTGTATTACTCAGTTGCATTACAAAGTTAATACATTTCTCCAATCATTTTTATTTTTTTATGAGGAGGCACGATATAACAGAAGATCAACAAGTAAGACGACATCAGGAAAAATAAATTTATACAAGTTTAATTGTCAACTTGTACATACTCAAAGTTTACATAAATATGAAATGAGGTCAAGTTAATTAACAGACATATGTATGTATTAATATGCCTTATCTGAAAATTTACGTAAAATGTACTTCAAATTAAAATAATTAACAATTTAAAATATTTGAAAGACATAAATTTAAAATTTACTCTTGAAAGTATTATGTGCAATATAAATTAAAATAAAATAAGTAACATATATTATTTTAAAATGACACAAAAGATAATATAAGATCCGATAATTAAACAACTAAGAGAATTTTTAAAATCTATAAATGTCATATAAATTGAGACAAATATACTATATATAAAGAAAACTATAAAGTATTGTAATGGTCAACAACTTTAAATATTTAAAAGAGAAAAAAGATGAAATATATCCAAATTTTCAAATTTTAGGCTGGACCTATTACCCCCTACACTATTTAGTATATTTTAAAGATATATAAGTATCAACCGAACAAGTTACTATTTAAGCTTAAGTCATCTATAACCCCTCAAAGTTGTCCGCATAATTCATTTAGACACCTCAATTAAGACTTGTACCAATTGAACACCTTTACCCTCCCAAATTTGAACCATTTAAACATTTTTTTGACAATAAGCTAAAAGTATAATGTGTGTGAAATACACTCGCGATGACATGGCAATTTGACGAATTAAATACTGACATTTGGTATTTTAGAGTCCAAAAAATTTAATATAAAATATATTATAAAGTAAAAAAAAAAAGAAATTATTTTTATGTTAAAAATTAAAAAATCATATAAATCCTATAGCTTACCTACCCTTCTATTCCATGGAGTCCAAAACTCTTCTCCTTCTACAGTGCCCCAGCCCCCACGACAGCCCTCTCTGTAAATATTCTATTATTTTTTAATCTTCTTAGTTCATCTGCATCATAGAGTTCAAGCAAAATGATTAAGATTTATTGCTATTTTTGATGAGTTACGGAAGAGTTGGCCATAGGTAAAAAATAAAATAAAATTTAACTTGTCTTCCTCGTTTCATTTTTGACGAAAAGATGAACTTCGTCGGAAAATTAATCAGTTTTCGATGAATAGTGAATTTCTTTTTGAGTT